TAATTTTTGTTTTTCATATACATACCTATCGAAATCTTCTGGTTTAACTTCTAGAAATGAATCAAGAATAGTAATAGCAGCATTATTTACTAATAATTGAATTGGAAGATGTGGTTTAATAGCTTCTTTCGTTGCTTTCCAATCACTTAAATCAACACATACTGGAATAATATTATTATTCTAATTTGAAATAAAAAGAAAATGATATTAAATTTTTAAAAAATCTAATTTTTTTACTTGTGCAACAAGTTGTTTCAAATTTTCATCAGTTTTACTAACAGCAATTACTTTAGCACCAAGTTGAGCAAGTCGTAAAGCTAATGATTTACCAATACCTTAAACAATTATTTTGTTTTTTTCAATGTAATAAAATAAATTCATTTTTAAATAACAGACCTTGTCCAGCACCTGTTACACATACAGTTTTATTTTGAAAATCATTCTCAGTCATCTAGAAAAATTACCACAAAAAATAGTCATGTAATAACTTTTATAAAAAAATAATTAACACACAAATTTTCATAAAGAAATTTAAATACGAAAAAAATAAAGAAAAGAAAATTGTCATGACAATTATTGACATATGGCATTATGAAGTGGAATTGCTAATAGACCTGCAAATGATATTCCAACTGAATCACTAATAGATGCAACACCAATTGAAAATTCACGATCAGGTTCAGGAATCTAAAACAATAATAACAATAACTCAATTAAAATTCAATCTTGTTTTGACTTAAATCATACTTCAATTGATATCTTATAAAATGTATTGACATAAGCTCCACCACCAATTAAACCTTCAAATATGACTAAACCGAAAACTAACCATATACTCGGTATATGAGCCGTACGATAGACACAAGCAAAAAATATACCCATATTAATAAGCTGAGTAAATATATATGTATAGAACACAGAAAACCAAAATATGTCAATAAACTAACTTGAATAATTGGTAAAATCCAAAGACGATGAATTCTAATGAGTGCTACTGATGAACGTGAAGCGAAAACGCCCAATTGATAGAAAACCGAATACCTAAAAATAAACATACTCTCTTATTTAAGAATTATACGAAACTAAGTTTTCTATTTGATTCTATTTAATTATTATTCTTAACGAAGAATTTCAAATGATTTTTTTTTCTATGTACTGACGAGAAAACTACCCGAACGGATACACACGCCATTTGAGCTCATACAAGGACGTCTTGGTAAGATTAGAAAAAATCTAAAAGGATTCGGTCTTTGGAGTTGAATTATAGCCGTTGCATTGAATTTTTCGACACAATTTTAGATATTTACTGAAATATCAAATAATGGAACTTTGACCTGAAAGTTTCAGGCGAATGCTTTTTTTGTCGAAATATTGAATTTCCAAGTAAACTTAATTTTTGTGGAAAGTCAATATCTTGATTAGGGAACATTCTTTTCACCTGAAACTTTCAGATCAAAATTCAATTATTTGATTTTTCAGCATATACTTAAAACTGAGTCAAAAAATCAGTAAAAACGGCAGTAACTCAGCTTCAAAGGCTGAACTCTTTTACACTTTTACTAACGTGCCCTTATATGAGTTCAAACAGCGTGTATCATTTCATGCAGTTCTCTCATTGAAATAATACATTTTGAATGTGCTAAACTTTCATTTGTAAATTTTGAATGATATTGAATTAAACTTGTATATCTATTATTACTTACCAACGATATTGTGTAGAATGTGACATACTCGTATTACGAAAGTAGATGAGTTCATACTACATGAACAAAAATATAAATATAATACTTTATAAAATAATTTATGAGTAAATCAAATTACTAAATTTTAATTCATAATGTATATACAAGAATTTGTGAATCTCAAAATAAGACTTATACTTACCAATCCTTGATTGATTAAATATTCAGCAAAATAAACAATTGTCAATGGTATCATATATTTTATTAATGGCTATAAAAAAAAACATCAATCAATAATAAAAAAATCAGAGAAAATATTATTATCAATCGTTTACTTTAACTAATTTAAGTCGACCTTTAAAACCTTTCAATGTTTCATTAACACTTATTATCGTTTCATCAACATTACTGTCTACATAGAAAATACATAGATATTTTTCTAGTAAATCAATTATTTTTTTTCTACCTATATCAACATCAACAGTAATATGTTCACTTATTTGTTGATAGTGACGATGTCTAGCAACAGCTTGACTAGCTCCGACCATTATGTAACTTTATATAAATCAAATAATTTTTATTTAAAAAAAATACATATTTTTCTTTTTAATACTCTTTTATTTACCTGATAACTTGAAGAACAGGTATGAAGAGTAAAATAAGTATAGCAGTTCTAGGATTTAATTTAAGTAGACTAGTTAGTCCTGCATAGGAAAGAGCACCAAGTAAACCAGCAGCACCTGTACCACTTGACCATGCACTAACCGTATGTTTTGAATAAAAAGATGTTAATTGTAATATTGTAATTTCACCAAAACCAGAACTAATACTTGCACAAACAACACCTTGAATTTAAAAATTTTTATTTATATTTTGATGAACCATATTAATTAACTTACCAAATAAACTTAAAGCAATTATTTTTGAAGTACCAACAATGATCAAAGAACTAGCAGCAAATATTACAATCAAAATAAAACGAAAACTGGAATCAAAAAAAGAAAAACAAAATCAATTGATTAGTATGTAAAAAACAAAATAGCAATTAGCTTTTACTTATATATGATTCTGTGCATAAAAAATGGAGCTGTTAATTTAATAACTAATGCTGGTAAAATATCCGCTAGTAGAATAGCCTGAAAAACAATTGTCAAATACATCAGTAAAATTTAAAACATTTTTTTCTTCAAAAATTTATATTAATATCAAATAATTTCTATGTAGAATTCGACATTTCAATGTACTATACGGAAGGAAGAATACTCTTGTCTTTCAGCTAGCTTATAATTAAGAGTACTGCCTATATATATATATACTAACTAGCCACAAGAATAGGTGTATATTTCTACTACAAAAGAAAAAACAGCATGAGAAATGAGGAGAATTACTTATTGAATCAAAAGACTATGATACGTTCGCGAGTAGTCTAACTTCTTGAAGACTATCTTTTATTAACATAAATTTTCATGAGTGAAAATACTTGCTGATCAATTTCAAAGAGTCAGATCGGTAACTATTTTTTTTATTTACATAGTAAATACTATTCCATGTTAATAACATTCATGCCATTTAATGTAGTTGATAGTGCATTCGGTCTCGTGTGTAGATAAGAAATGTCATTAAATCGAATAAATACTTTATCATTATTTATTGGCGAAATAAAACTTCCGAAACGTTCACATAAACAAAGATTTCTGATTGTTATCAATTGTGAGGTACAAAACTTATGTAAAGAATTTTGAGGAAAAATCAAATTTTTTGTTTTCTTACGTGAAAAATAATGCTTGGACCGGACGACCTATTTCGAATTCTGATTTGTATACAATGCCTTGTGCATACGTGTCAAACAAAGTAGCCACTCAACTATGTCGATTATATACTATATTACATCTAAATTCTGATTATCAAATATCATTCAAGATTAGAACTATAGGAGACTAGAATAAGGAAAAAAACATTTCATATTGATCTCATCTACTCACTCCTGTCGATAGTCGATTACAATCAAATCGATTTGTTGTATTATGTGGCATCGGTTCAGTCGAATTAGTATCCTCTTCTTGTTTCAATATATCATGAGCAGCACTTAACATTACTACATAACCAAAATTATTGCAAAGACCAAGAAGCCTAAAATATGTTAGATTTATATGATACAGTCATGTATTCAAACAAAACAAAAAATATGTACCAAAAACCAATAAATTCAATCCACCGTTTGCCATGTTCCACTCGATTATGATCATTTGTTTTTGGAGAAGCGTTCATCATCGAAAAGAAAACAATAACAACAAAAAGATATTAAATTTTTTTTCTATTTTATAATAATTAATTAATATAAATACACACGGAATTTTTATTTTAAAAAAAAAGAACAAAGCAAATCAAATAATCATAATACGAGCATATGACAGTTTGTACCAAGCCATTTTTATTTCATTTAAGTAATGACCATTTGATTTGCTCTTTAGCATGATTGAATACCTAATAAAACAAATATTTAAAAGAAATAAAGTTTTAAACCATACAATCACTGCAGAAAAAAAACAATCCATTATCATGCTAGGCTATGTTTTTTTATTATTATTTTAATCAATTCTACAATTATTCATACATCAAATGTTAGATGAAATATAGATAAAGTTGTCAACGTCTAAATAATTGTAGGAGCAAATGAGCAAAATCAAGAGCTCGCACATATATACACACACACATATATCACTTCTATATTTTCTATCAATCAGGATTGAGTAACATATTGAGTCCCTGATAGAGAATCTGATGGACAAAAAAAAAGGGTAAATATCTCTTTTTTTTTAAAATTTTATTCGACACTAATTTCTTTTTGTTTTTTAATATTTAACTATTCACCTGTGAAACAGTTTGTTCGCCTAATGGAATATCATCTTGACGTAGTTGAACACGTTGAGCAATTAATATTGGATCTGATTCGAGAAGAATTCTAAAAAAAAAACAAAAACAACAATCAAAATCTATTATTTATTCAAAGCAAAAAAAGAAAAGAATATTTTACCCATTATCACAAATTTCATCAAATATAAGCATAACTAAATCAAGATTTTCATAAAGAAATTTTTTTTCAACATTTTTTCTTAATATTGTATTTAATGTTTCAAATAAACATGTTAAAACAGCATTTAATATTAACTAAATATATTTTCAACCCATTTTTTTTTGTTTTTAAAAACATTTTATATTAAATTTATCAAAATTTCATACTTCATTTTCATTTGTACTACCCACAACATAAAAAAGTAAATCAACATTATTTCGATAGACAATTGTTAAATTATCAAGAAGAATAACATCTCCTGAACCTTTATGTGTTTTATTAAATAATGATTTTTCAAATTGTTTTTGTTCTTTTACTGTAGAAAATAATTGAGAATAATACTAAATTAAAATAAATAAGATAATGAATATATATATATATATAATTAAATTTATTTACCTTAGCTAAAATACGATTACCATCATTGTCTAAAATAATAATACCTTTAATCACATATAATGACGGTACCTATAAAAAATAGGTGAAATCATAAAATTGAATTAGTCAAAAAAACAAAAGAAAACTTACAAAGAAATTTTCTAATACCATATTAATAATTTAAAAGCTAAAATTAAAGTAATAAAATATGTATTTATTAACGTACCGTCTTTATCTGAAGAAAGACAATATGACACGCATGACTCAGGGTCCAGAATTGTTTGCTTATTTCGTTTCAACCATATATAAAACACATTTAAAAGTAATTCGGATGCGAGCGACAACTATTGATATTCATTCAAAGAATTTACTTCAATCAATAAACTAAATTTCATCTTTCTTATTGAACATTTGCTCAACTATAAATCCAATTTTTCTAATAGAATATTTTATGTTCAACTTTGAAATATACTAATACATTGAGTTTACCTCTTCTTAGTAGAGAGCTATGGGTTAGAGATGTACAGAACAAGCTTTTGTCGTATCCTGACTAAGAAAAATTTTCTTAGCCCTATCCCACCCAATCCTGCAGGATGACACAGGGTAGAGTAACCCTGCACATCTTTACTGAAAATTCTTCCAGACTCGACTAGGTCGGAATCGAGTTTGGATCCAAACCTTTAATTTTTGTCGGATCCGGATTCATATCCAGCTTTATTTACAGACTCATTTTGTATTCACCTTTGAGTCTAACGAGAGAATAGCTGACGTCAGCCAATTCAGCTATAGCTTGTCAGCTACGGTTTAACGTCACAGTGAATGTTTTTTAATAGGCGACAATCCAGGTTTAAAATCTATCATCATATACGATGAATAACAATGGTTGTAGGGTGTGGGTGTTGTTGAAGAGTAGACAAACATTCAGTATCCATATCCACACTCTCCATAAAAAAAGGTGTCATAATGAATCATTCTTCAGTACCATTTTCTGAACCTTTTTTCAATTCTAGACATGTTCGTTAGAACTGCAAAAGGTTTAGTGCGAAAGTTTGAAACTTCCTGGAGTTATACTTGCTGGCTAGAACTTACAAGAAGTTCCAGAAAATGGTATCCAAATCTAGAACGCTAAATAATGCAGGACCTTCGCTAAAACTCCTAATGGTTCCTTATGACACCTTTTATTTTAGAGAGCACTACACACACGCACTCACCCACACCCTGATCGGTTGATAATTGGCCAATCAGATTCGAGGAAGCTGTTTCTTCACTATTGTAAGGACAAAACATACGGTTGCTCGTAGAATTCAAAAACTCGTATTGGACGTTGCAAAGCTTTCATCAACATTCGATTGAGTAACGTATTGTACGATGTTGAATTCTTTGTGACATTTTCCAGTAGTTGTGAGTCATTCCGTTATTTCGAAGTGCGCTTCTTCTTACATACATTCCGCAGAAGCATAGAATCCACATTCCCGACAGCATATTACAAAGAAATAATGAATAAGGTGGAAATCATGCTGCCCATGACTCATTTGTTTTGCAAACACACATTGGAAAAAAAAACGTGATGCAATAACTGTGTAATTTTGCTTTCGCTTATAAAATGACAGCGTTGTAAACTTGCTTATTTGTCTTTCTTTTTTTCACTGATCTTGTTTCATAAAACGCGATCAAGTATGGAAAGTGTACCTCCATCTGATAATGTTTCGCAAGCCACCGATGATTGTACAATCTGTCTAAGTAATTTGGCTCCTGGTACTCCACTCCTTATATTATCCTGCAACCACAGATTTCATTTCCAATGTTTGGCTTCGAACATCCATGCAGGGAACAACGAATGTCCTTTGTGTAGAGCTGCAATCGATGCATTTGTCGTCCAATTGCTAGGTAATGCCAGTCGATCCTCAACACAAGTCCAGCAAATTTCTCAGCCTCAAACAGGACAAGCTCCAACAAACGCTGGAAACGCAGCACCAGCACCCATAGTGAGTACTATTCTTTGCCATGATTTCATTTGTTCAAATTTGTAAGACACCAACCGAGAAAGATCTTTCTACAGGCAAGGAACTCATCGACCCCTACCCATTTATTGATGTCGAACTCGACCTTTAAATATGGAACGGCAGTTATGTGGTGCAGTAATCCTTTCGTTAAGCGTTAATTTATCTTCCTTAGAACCAAAAAATCTGTTTTCGAAAAGATTGATTCCATTAGAAGCAAGGTAAGTATAAGGATGTGGGTGCGACTTTTCTCACCACGCACACACACCGGCACCCAAATCCACGTCGTGGCTTCATCAATGTGTTACTCAAATTTCTTCCTTCATGGAAGGGAACCATTCTAATCCAATATGAGACAATAGTTCTCGAAAAAAACTCCATTTTCGAGGACATCTAGTAAGTTCGGATTATATTTTTCCTGAAAGCTTTGGTTGTTGGATATAGCGTAGGTCTAGACTGTTTCACCAGAGTTGTTAGCTTTGACGAACCACTAACTGTATATAATCGTATGCTTCCACTAATTTTCTATGATGAGTGCATCGTTTAAGGTTGTTCCATCGATTGAAGATCCAATTGATGAGGCTACTGCAACAGCTATTTCCGAACGCTTTTTTGCTGCTCGACAAGCGACGATTGCCTTGTTGAAGGAAGCCAATAGCTTGCCATTAATTACTGCTGTGACAACACTAGAATATGAAGGTCAAGTTTCACATGAAGAGTCGAACATATACGGCCTGGTCACTCTGCAAGCTCCATCTGCTTTACAATCAGATAACCTACCAGTAATTCAATCGCGCACTCCCATCGATCTTGTTTGTGTTGTTGATCAAAGCGGATCGATGTCAGGAGAAAAAATTACCTTATTGAAAAAGACGTTGACTGGTATCGTCGACCAACTGGATGAACTTGATCGACTAGCCATTATTTCATTCAACGATTGTGCATTTGACCGTTCTCATGGACTTAAACGGGTGAATCAACAAAAGTGAGTTACCCTATCACTTTCATTCGATTATTGTAGCTTGTTTTGATCTAGTCAACAAACCTTGAAAACCGACATTGATGGTATTTTGAGTGAAGGAAACACCTATATCGGAGCGGGTCTCGAAATGGGTATCAATCTCCTCGCAACCCGCCAGACTAAGAATCCGCTTAGTGCTTTACTTTTACTCACTGATGGCCGAGATAGTTCTGTGCATGACTATACTCAAATCATGAGTACCTTACCAGAAGGAGTCCAATGTTACACATTTGGCTACGGTGCGGATCATCATGCAGAATTGCTAGTAAAACTAGCTGAACAAGGCAATGATGGTTGTTTTACTTATATTGTAAATTTTGCTTTCGTTTTATTTGGCATCTCGATGTGCCGACAATGTATCGATCTCTTTAACAGGATCAAGAACAAGCCGTGTCAACAGCTTTTGCGATCACGATGGCTGGACTATTGACATGCATGGCGCAAAAAATTGAGGTCAATATAGAGCTTTCTGGCGAGTACCAAATCACTCATTTTCTCTCGAAATATAAATATGAGCCTGAACAACTTCCATCGATGAAGCTTTGCGTCAAATTACATAATCTTAATGCCGATGAAAAGCGAAATTTAGTCTTTCGATTGCACATTCCCAAAGTAAGTGATGATCAGAATGTTGAAATGGCTAGTCAACAGCCAATGACACAGGATGAGACGACCGACCAACAAGAAGTGTTTGAAAAACAAATTATTGGTAAGTATTAGTGTCCTTTGCGTAGAAGATATCATCTAGTTGCATAAGTGCTCATATCCATGTTTTTCTATAGGGCATGTCAGTGTC